TTTTGAAAGAAGAAAAAAATTATTATTAAAACTAAATAATAACATTAAATATATAGAAAAAAAATGTGATATACATAATTAGTTTATGACTATTATAATAAATTTTTAAAAAATTTTAATACTCTGTAATAAAATATGTAAAACTAAAAGGGAAAAGTATATATGAGTCCTACCTTTCAAAAATAATTGAAATTTTAATATTAAATTAAGTTGTTTTATTTAATTAAAACTCAATTCAAAATTTAAAAAATTATTTTATTAAATGTTGATATATTAGAATATATAATTGTTTTCCAAATTTAAATATCAACATTTAATAAGATAAGATTTCAATTTTTAAATGTAATTTGAAACTCTAATTGATTTTGAAAGTTGGAACTAATAATATTAATTTCAAATTAAAATTATTTTATCAAACTTAATTTATTTGATTTAAAATATAATTAATTCTAAGATTAAATTTAAAATTTTTCATTAAAATATATAAAGTTAAAAAATAACCACCCCATAAACAACCTCAACTAAAATATAAATAAAAAAATTTCCATACAAATAGAAAAAAAGATATAAATTAAGAAAAATATAATTACAAAATAAATAAAAATTTTACAAAAATTACACCAATTATCATTACTCAATTTAAAATTTTTATCTATCAAAATGCCTTTAAAAATCAAAATATTTACAGAATTATCACAAAATCAAACTCCTTTTAAGAGAGACAAAGAAAGAGAAGAAAGAAAAAGGAAGAGGGTAGAGTTTGACTACTCTTCTTATAATATTTAAGATTTTATTCTTACTTCATATATGTAATATATTTGAACAAGATGTGGATTAGAGGTCTTACCAGATACGTAATAACTGGGCAGAGATAAAACTGCTTTCAAATATTGGAAAAAATATTCGAAAACTATGTTCCCTGCATGAAGTGAACAAAATTAGCCAAACCTTTTGCCACTAGAAAATGATGCGACCAAGAAATGAAAAGGCATATATATGCACAATTGGAACTCAAATCAAAAGAATTTGTTTTTAAAGTACCATGATATGTAGGATAAGAAACATTAACACACTGGTTTTCCTCATTAATGGAGTAAGAATATGTCTCTCCACATGAAACATACCGCCACGACAACTCAATTCCATATGCTAACCAATGGTGGATGTCCAGGTAGGAGAGGTTCTCGTAATTCTTCT